ACATCATCCAAATGATCAAAATAGTGGGCTTCAGGTTCCAAAGGATAATCTCTGAAAGGAGCATTTCAGAAACCAGATTGTCCAAAGTGCGCACTCATTCATCCGTTAAAGCTGTCCAAAATGGCACACCCTTGAAGCCGTCCCATATGGCGCATCTCATTTTCCTCTCATCGTCCAAAGGACAACCTCCGAAAGGAGCATTTTAGAACCGGGTCATCCAACGTGGCGCACTCATTCATCCATTAAAGCCGTCCAAAGTGGCGCACTCATTCATCCATTAAAGCTGTCCAAAGTGGCACACCCCTGAAGCCGTCCCAAGTTGCGCATCTCATTTAGTCTTTCAATGTCCAAATGACAACCTCCGAAAGGAGCATTTCAAGAACCGGGTCATCCTCAGTGGCGTACTCATTCATCCGTTGAAGTCATCCCAAGTGGCGCACCCCAGAAGTCGTCCCATGTGGAGAATCTCACTTCCGAAGGATAACCATTGTATTTTATCAAAGCCGCTGATTGGCGCAGTCAGTCTCCAACAATTACCACGGCATAATTTGCCCACCTAAAAATCGCCGTAATGGAAATTCACATTAATAAAGCCGTCAAAATGGCACACTTCATCCATCAAAGTCATTTAACACAAATCAAGTAAGTATTTTCTTACTTACGCGTCTACTTTACACTTTATTGACATTTTACTTAAAAAGTAAAATATTATCAAAGTGGAGGCAAACTGTAGATGCTCAAATATTTCCCCTAAAAGGTTCAATGATGATAAACTGTTTTTTGTATAAAATTGGATCAGGATTCTTGCCTCAACAATAATTTCCCCTAAAAGAAGTGGAGGCAAACTGTAGATGCTCAAATATTTCCCCTAAAAGGTTCAATGATGATAAACTGTTTTTTGTATAAAATTGGATCAGGATTCTCGATCGCCCCGATTTTCGGATCAATGGTCTGTGGCTGATATTATTTAGGTGTTTAACCATTTTTACTTTTCCGGTTACCAGGAATTATGCAACAAAGTTGGGCCCGAGAAGTGTGTGAGGCCCGCCTAGCACACTTTCGGGCACACTTTAGTAAAAGTGGGCTAATCCCGTTATAGGGCCAAACAGTGGCATTGTTTGCCATGTCAGCCCTAAATGGGGCCACTCACCCTCAAATGCCTATAAATAGACATTGGGGGTGAGCCCAAAGGGAGGATTTTTGGGACTAAAGGAAAATTCTTGCATTTTTAAAACTCAATCTAAAGATTCAAAGGCAACTAGTGTTTACCTTTTATCTAAGTTGAGATTTTATTGCTTAATCAATCAAAAATCATAAAAACACATTCGTTAATCTTGAATCTCAGACTATTGGATCAAGAACCAAATGCTTGGATTTCTTCATCCATTTTATTAACAAATCTTGAAAGAAAGCATCCAAGGTAGTTTCTGAGGACCTTAATCTTATTCCTTAATCTTTTTCTTTTTCTTTTCGGTGCTTTGAACACCTCCTTTGGGTCTGTTTGAGAGGGAAATTGAGGATCAATCAATAAAGGATCTCTGTGCCTTTATGGCAAATAGCCTGAGCCAATGGCACAAGCCACTGCATATGGCGTGCACCACAGGCCTGTGGCTTGCGCCACATGAGCGCCTAGATCCTCTGTTCTTGACATATTCTTCATCTGAACCTTCCTGATCCGGAAAGGGCCTTGCGTTATTATATGGGTGCACGCCATAGCCCATTGTGGTGCTAGGCCCTTCATTTCAGAGATCTAGAATGGTTAAAAATCAATAAACGCCCCTTTTTCGGAGATCCAATGATCAAGCTCCAACCTTAAAAGGTTTGGGATGTGTATTTGGTCACAAATGGATCAAATAAACAATAAAACAAGATTGAGAGCCATGATTGATGAATATCAAGACCATGAGCTTAAATCTTAATTAACCATTTAAATTCATGTCTTTAAATTATTGCAATTTACTTTTTTAGGATTTTATTATTCTGTCCATTTAATTTTATGCCTTTAAATTTAATATTTTAGTTTATTATTGTGCTAACCCCTTGTTCGTCAATCTTGTATATTTTACATGCATCATATCTTCATTTTGTGAATGTGTGAGTGATGATGTTTACGATGTATGATGTTTAGTTCTGAGCATAATATCTATCCTTATGTTTATGTTGTTTGTATGAATCCTTTATCTTTATTCTTGTGTTTTAGTGTTTGTTATTGCAAAATGTAAAGAGATCTTAATGGATCTCATTAAATGCTTATATGATAATTAGTTTGGAGAATTGAAAATTTTGGAGGGTAATGGGTAGACTGTAAGAATTAGGGATGGTTTATAACTTTTTTCTTCTCTCTCTTTCTTTGTGGTTGCTTTACTTTACGTCTTTATGCTTTGTATCTCAATTAAATGTTGACATAGTTTTCCAAAAAACTGCATAAAAAAGATTTACATCTCAATTTTAGTTAATTACATTATTACCAATTGTGAATCTTTGGACAACGAGGAGCCCGGTCGATAGACATGCCTAACATCTTCCCCTATCGTACCTAACTTTCGAACTCCATCTTTGATTTAAAACCGAGTTAATCGATTCCAAAGAATCGACTAATTCGAGTATTTTTCCTGATAAGGATGGCGACTCCAAAAATAAAACTATTACCAAAGTAAGAAAATCTTTTTTCGAGGATTAAACGAATGGGTTAATAAGGAAAACCAATTTTTAATAAAATGAACAAAGCCCGTTGATTTGACTCTTTTCAAATCAAACTTTTTGAGAAAATCACGCATCCTTAAGAGGGTGCATCTCTTTAAGATATTTTATGATAATGCTATTCAAGAGGAAAAACTTGTAAGCTTGTAATTATTCACGATTACTAAACAATTGCAAAAATCTATAAATCTATAAATCTAAATTATAAGAACTATAAATAAAATCTATTCTATTAATTTATAAATAGAGAAAGAGTTAAGGTTATACTTACTGTAATAAAAAGACTTGATTAGAAACTCAATAATTTCAAATTAGCAAAAGCTTGATGTAACATTTCTTGATATTCAAAAGCAACAAATTTTTGATAGTCAAAAGGAACAAATTCTTGATAGCCAAAATTAATTAAAACTAAACATATATTTAGTGGTATGATAAGACAAATTTTTAATTAGAATGAGATTAAATTTATAATATTAATATAATAAAAATAATAAATTGATATCATATTAAAAACTAAAATATATTTAGTGGTATGGATAAGCAATTTTTTAATTACGAAACATGAGAATTACAATTTATAATATTAATATAATAAAACATAACTAATTGATAATCATAATTAGAATACGGATTAGTAATGCATTATTTTTTTGTCAATTCCCATAAACTTAGCTGGAGCATTTTAGAAAATCCAAGGTCCCCCTCATTCGTACTTTTATATGTACTAGTCTTTTATGTGACGTGCGTTGTGCACGTTGACTATGCTCGTTATATACTTATTTTTTTATCTATATAATATTAAAGCATAAGTTTTGTTTAGATTAAAATAAATACTAAATGGTTAATTTTTATTGCACTTTGCTGTACAATTACTTGCAATACTACTTCTTATGTACTTAATTCTATTTTTATATAATGAAGTGGTCTTAGAATAAAGTTCAACCCAATCTCTAGACTTAATCCTTAATTCCTAATTTATAAATGCAGATTTTAAAATCCTAATAGATGCCCAAAAATAAAATCAAGCTACCACTCAATTTTCAACTCCTGCCCTCAACCCCTGCCCTCAACCCCAAATTAATATCTATATACAACTATAATGAAAAATAATAATAAATTATTTTTTACTGCTAGGTAAAAGAAAAGAAATGAGATGATGATTTGAATTAATAATCGAAATCATTTTTGCTACGGTATTTACCTAGTGTATTAGAGAAAGGAATATATGTATATACACACAAATTGTTGAAACCCCAAAAAGTGATCCAAACAGAGCTATATAGTTCTAATTTTTTTTTCCAGTTTCCTAAACACTATTTTCTTTTAAATCAAATAAATTTAGGATATAAGAGAAAAAATATCAAGACAAATTAAAAATGATTAATCATCAATAGACCATCTATTTATTGCAAGGGGATATAAATCTCTTACTAAATTAAAACAATTGTAGTTACAAATTATTTAGTAACGAAAAAGAAACAAATTGTAAGTTAAAATATTAGTAACGAAAAGAAAAACAAAAATTATTATTAAAGAATATATTAAAAAAATATTTCAATATATATAGATTATATATATCAATATATTATAATATATATAATTTAAAAATTTTATTTTTAAATTAAAATTTTCAACTGTTTATGAGGTTTAATTATGTAAATTTTATTTGAAAATTTACTTTTTAAAAAATATATCCAGTGAAATTTTACAAACTAAAAAAATATATATATAGAAAAAAATTTACATCGAGAAATAATCCTCCACTCACCAAATTGATAAAAGCACTTGTGGTTGAGAGGATCTGAACTCGAGACCTCTCACTTCTTACATAAGTGAGAAGACTATTAGGCCACAAATGATTGGCTTAAAAATAATTTTTACAAATGTATTCTAATAAAATGTAATTTTTTAATAGGCTATGACTAAGTTTATTTTATGATATCTTAAATTTAATTAAGGGTGCTATCGGAAATTTCATTATTTCTCCTATTTCTACTTTTATATATAGTATAAATAAGTAAATTAATTAATATTATAGATACATAGATATAGATATAAAAGTATAGATAGATAGATTATAGAAATGATTGAGGGAAAAAGTAAAACAAATAATTTCCTCTCTCAATGACCTCGTAGCCAACCAGAGGCAACCACTTTAATTTGCAGATGTACATTATCAATACAATGAAATTCACACGTAATTTGAAAAAAAAAATACAAAATGAAATTGATAATTCTTTAAATCCATCACCTGATTATATGAGGACAATTTTATTCTATTCTGAAAGGATTTCGAGTCACTAATTTACAAAAGCACAACGTTTCCTGATTTCACCTCGCTTACCAGTGAGAACTCCGATTTGACCTAGTTTCATCATTGACTCAGAGAAATCGCGAGCAAAAAACAATCCATGAGTAAGAGATTGGAGTTTAACATAAGCTCTAGTTTCAAAGTCATCAAGAAGAGCTGCATCAGATTGGAAGAGCCCTCTTCTTTTAGAGACAATAGTGTAGTAATCTTCATCAAAGGTTTTAAAGCTTCCAGGATCCATTTCTACTATTGTCTTGGTGTTTCCTGGCTTGCACTTTTTCTTTAACTGAGCTGCATATTTTGGATCTAATGATGGGTCTGTGTCCCCTTTGCCAGTGAAATTGTATAACCGGTTTGAGATTATAAAGCAATGCCCTATTCCAATGGTGTGTCCTCCTGTCAATGAAAAATATTACTTCATACGTTAATTATAGTTGATAACATAATTATATATTTCTCATACTTGGACAAAACCATCTTGGCTTTATGAGTTTATTGCAGTTTCTCTATTGAATCTCGAATGTTAACACTTTTTTTTTATACTTCCATGAGGTGTCCAGGCGCATGTCCGTTTCTACGGTAAATAATAAACTTGATTAATCCTCGCTCGCCTTCGAAAGTAAATGAACGGGAGAGTTTACATTGTGAAGAGTTAAACTCATGACCTAAACCATACTGATCAATCTCGTAAGTGCTTTTTACCGCTGAGCTACCCCATTCGGATTTAAATATTAACACTTTATTTGGTAAGATGTAATGAACATAATGCAAAACGTGATAAATGCATTTCTAATATAAACATTACACTAACATGCATTTAATTACGTTTGTAGTATATTCTATTAGGGTCGACCAAATCGAGCCTGATTGTTTTAGCACTCACCTGATAAAACAACAAGGTCCTTTACGCTTAAACCCTTAGCAGCAAAATTTTGTTTAAGTTGAGTTATATTAGCGAAAGGAGATGGTAACTGTGTTAAAGCCTCTGTAGAAACTGACACTGTTCCATCTCTGCGTCCAGTTGGAACATCCCAAAATGGTCCTCCAATCTAAAATAAAATTTGTTTAATTAGTTATTTTTATATAAATAATCAATTTAAGGCAGGAAAAATTGATTGCATGAATACGTGCCATTAAAACTGCATCTCGAGCTACTAAGGCCAATATATCAGCACAGGAAACAACACCAGGACAACATTTTTCTAATTCATATTTTACTGCGTCAATTACTTGAAAGCCTCTTAAGGTTTGATTTGGGATTGCTTCTTTCTCGGCTTGGTTATTCTTTGTAGAACTTAATAGTATAGAACCATCACATCCCTGCAAAAACACTACAATTTGTTAGACTCTATATAAGAACATGCATTTCTTATTTCCATTTTAATGTAGTTTGAGTGAGAGATAGATAGATCCGTGAAAGAGTGGAGAGGAGAGAAGTACAAAAAAATTAGGAAATTGGTTTAAAGATATATGAAGATTGGGTCATAATTAATTTTTCACTTTCATGGATACTTTCATTTGATTTAGTTTTGGTTTTAAATTCATTTTTTCTTATCGCAAGAGAAATTTGTATTTTGTTGTCGAGTTTCTTCCGGTTTTTTCACTTAGTACTTTCAGTTAGGTTTGGTTACATTTGGGTTCCTTGATTTTACTAAATTTTTTTTGAATATATTTATTTAATAAAATAAAATTTATTTGTTGATAAAAAAAATAAGTAAGGTACTTCTAATTATCTGTTTATTTTCAAATTACTCCTACACAAAAAGAAAGATCGTATTATCCTGATAAATTTAAAAAGCAAAATCTTTGACTTTATATCTGTTAACCAAATAGTTAAATTATTTAAAAATTACTTTCATGCAGTTTTATCAAACATTTAATTGATTATTTCAAACTTAACTTAAAAGTTAAAAGATATAATTTAAATCAAAATTAAAAATACACAGTGAAATCAAATTAAGCACACCAAGAATATAATCTAGTGGTAAGTGCATATACGACCTGACAATAGATTTAGGTTTAAATCCCCTTATCCAATGCTAAAAAAAAAAAAAACCTATAATTGGTCATACCATAAAGATAGAATGATTTTTACATTATAATAGCCAAAAAAAATTGGCAATTCGGATAGAAGAGACTTACCCTAACAAAACAATCATGGAAATGCATTCTCAACAAAGGGGCAGCAAGAGTGGGGTCTCTAGAAATGTACTTAGCAACAATTCTATGGACAATAACCTCTAAACCAGGGCAACTCCTCCTATAGAACCTGTTCTGCAAACCCCATGCCTTGGTGGGATCTAAGAACAAGAGAAGGAGAAGCCAGAGAAGCTTTTGCATAGCCATTAATTGTCTCTTAAAGAGAAAAAAGAATTATTGTTGGAAATTATATAACTGCTTATGATTTAGATTGCATAAAAACCCAGATTTTTATAGTACTTAGAGACCATTGACAGTGTCATTAACAAACTGTCACTCAATTAATTATGAATTATGATAAGGTCAATAACTTAAGAGCTGACTTCGAATAATTAATTGAAGAAAAAAGATTTAATATTCCTTTCTTTTTTATGAAAATAAAAATATGAAAGAAATTACCAGAGGCAAAATAAGATGATCAGGATTAGATGTGTTACCACAGTTTGAACATTATTGTTTTAAATCAAACAAAAAAAAAAAGTATTATTTTTGTCTTAATCTGAACAATTATTTTTTAATCTCAATGTGAACATATTATTTTAATGTTAACCTAAATGATAAATTTTTCTATCTTATTAAAGAATAATCAATTACATAACGTGAAAGTTGACTCGTAATGAAAAAAATGAATAGAATAATAAATAAATAAGTATTTTTAATGAAAGCACAGTTTATACTATCAATCATGTGTTTGCAATATTATAGCTTTTTGATAATTATTTATTATTGAAACTGAGATTACATTTAATAAATTATTTATGGTATGTTTATAATTATTGTCCTTTATTTTGCACAAGTTGATGATTTTATGTAGAGTTTATTCCGTATATAAAAGATTAAATCATTTTGTTAATAAAGGCTAGCTCAGTTCATGACAAGCATACATGTTTTACTCATCTCCTTATCAACCCATCTTTGAAAAGGACTATCTTTGGCTTCTTCTTTTTTTTTTTTTTTTTTTTTTTAAAAGGCTAGCTCAGTTTCTGACAAGCCATACATGTTTTACTCATCTCCTTTATCAAAACCCATCTTTTGAAAAGGACTATCTTTGGCTTCTTCTTTTTTTTTTTTTTTTTTTTTTTTTTTTTTTTTTTCATAAGCTTAGCTCGACTTGGTAAATATAAGAGTTCTTTGTTATTAATTAGAATTCAATTAATTGGAGAGAATTTCAGAAATGTTATAAATATTATTTCTAAATGCAACGAGCTCATAAAAAAAAAATGAATCCTTAAAACTGTGTGAGAAAGAGACTTATTCTTGTTGCACATGAGTTCAACCTAGAGTACCCCTAACTTCAAATACTTAGAAAAGAGAGATTAAATTAGAGAAAGGTTTTTTTTTTTTTTTTTTTAAAAAAAGGAGTTTACAGTGATACAAATACTTTTTCAAATGATTATGTGCTTAGGGTTTGCTTATTCGACATTTGAGTGCCAAATATATTTAGAATAGTCGTGATTTCACGCTTCGCACGGTATTTAAATATTATTATTTGATGATTATTATTGAATTACTATGAAAATTCATCAATTTGCAATTTTGTATTGAAAAAGTTTTTATTAATAACAATTATTAACCTATTTTTAATCGTAAGTTAATGATTATTTGAATTTAGAAAATTATTGATTTAATTAATGATTTCAAAAGTCAAATTAATACTTTTTTTCCTAGATTGCGAATTTAATTTGAAACTTAATTATACTGAAAATTTGAATGTAAAATTAAGCATTGTATAAGTGTTGAGAATTTAAGTTGATGATTGATGTATTTATTAAAATTTTATATAATTTATTCGTAAATTGATAAATTAAAATTAAAAAAAAAAAAAAAGAAATACTAATAGGCAAAAGACTTAGATTTTTTTTTTTTTTTTTTTACTAAGATTTTTTGTTTTTTTTTTTTTTTTGTGGCCTTTTGTTTTCAACAAAAAACAGTAATATAAAGCTTGAAGATAATTTAATTAGTTCTAAACGTTATATACATATCCATCAAATTTTTTGAATACCTTATTGTCACTTTTATTTCTATTTTCATTAATGTCATTATTCATAGAGAACCAAACTCAAGTTTGCAATTCTATTGCTTTTTTTTTTTTTTTTTTTTTTTTTTTTTGGAGGGGGTTTGTCCATTCCTTATTAAAAAAATTAATAATAAAATTAATTAATTAATTAATTATTAACTATATGTATGTGTATATAAGGAAAAATAAAATTATTTCATTCCTAATTAATTTTCTTGAACAGACTATTTAAATCATTGTCATAAGATGAATTATTTGAGGCAATTACATAGTTTCTTATTAGTCTAATTAGTTTGAATTATATAAAGAGGTAATTGCCACACATTTCTCATTCTATTTATCAGTTCATTAATAATCTCAATTGGAATGAAAAAGATCAAATTTAAATTCCATAAGATATTCCGTAGATGTTGCAAATTTCATTTCTTTTACATGAATAAACTCTAACTTATATTTTCTTACCCAAACCCTTCTCTTCTATTAATGCATGAGCCCTTTTTCCCATCTCCAATTCCCTCAAATACCCACAATCTGGCAACACAAACTACGCTAGCACAATCAATCTAACACTCCAAAATAATCATTTGGTTAAAACCATCAAAGCTAATTGGGCAAACCCATTTTTGAAATAGCCATAATCAAAGTATTCCAAGAAACCGCAGACCTCTCCCTCACAAAACCAAAAACTTTCTTTGTCGTCTCCATCTCCCCACAATTGATATACATTGCCAGTGACGAATTCTGCATATAGTTATATGAACCAAAAACAGACATCGTTGTTTGCCCATGAACTGCTCTGCCCAAACCAGGTGCATTGGGTGTAGTCATCTGAAGTGAGTAGTCGGTCTTCTGTCCCGGCAGCGTGGACCTGTCAATTCTTTGGCTTGCAGCTTCTCAGTTAAACCAACCACCTGCAATCCAATTATCATATGCAAGAAACCATTAAAATACACTAATGAGTAATGAGTTAAAGATATAATCAGGACCCAATTAGCACTATCCATACACGCAAGACAAATTAGCTTAGGAAAGAAAAACTTGGTGTGCCCTTATATAGATGATGACATTATCAACATTATTGATTATTGTTGTTAAAAAATCAATCGCATATTAAGAAAAATAATAGGCAAAACTAATAGAGGAAATCACGTAAAGAAAGGAAATGTAACAAATAACTCATCAAAGTGAAAAAAAAAAAAAAATTGAATTATGAAAGCAGAAGATAGTAAAACACAATATATACCTAGAACCCGTGAAAATCTAATTGTTCGCTTAAATACAAAATGTGTATATATAGATAGACAGGTTTACCGATATAGATAAGAAAAAAAAATATAAATTTAAAGTTTTTGTTTGATTAGGTTAGATGATGATTAAAATAGATTAGGTAAAGTTTTAATTGGATTAGGTTATATGATTAAAATAAATTAGGTTTTAAAAGTTATCGCTAATTGAAAAAACTAATTAAGTTGGCCAATCACGATATAATAAAATAAAGAAAAATTTCAAAAATTTATAAGAAAAGAAAAAATAGGATGCTAAATAGAGTAAGAGCCTTAAATTTTCTTTTTGTTTCAGTTTTTATATAGATATATAGATATTTACGATTTCTAACCATTTTTTTTTTTTTTTATTTCTTCATTCTTGTTTGATTGGTTTTCTTTTCTGGGTAAAACTACTGTACAGAATTAAAATTTTCTTTACTAAAAAAACTCATATCTACTATTAGATTTAACACTTTGAATATAACTACTGTACAGAATTAAAATTTTCTTTACTAAAAAAACTCATATCTACTATTAGATTTAACACTTTGAATATAAGCTGTCGATTTAAAAATATTTAAATAACTTTCTACCTTTGAAGCAAGTTATATTCATTTGTTATTATTATTTTTGAGATTTAAAGAGATATAAATGTATTATATCAATTACTTTTTAATGAACAAATGAAGAATAAATGTATAGAAACCAATTGAAAATTTCAATATCCATATATGACTTTTTATTGTGCATTTATTTAAATATTAATTTTTTTAAGAAGTATTTAAATATCAATTTTATCTAATAAATTTTTTAATCAATTAAACCATTTGAAATAGCTCAAAAATACAAATTCTTAATTCAAAACTAATTTTACTTTCAATTCATAAAAGAGTTGTATAATTCTTCTTACCAAAAAAAAAAAAAAAAAAAAAAAAAAAAAAAAAAAAAAAAAAAAAAAAAAGAGTTGTATAGTTCTAAAATTTCAATTATCTTCTAATGCTATCTTTATATATACACATTTCTATTTCTATTTTTATTTAATATATTTTTTTTTTGTTAAAGTCATAATTTTATGGTATTTACAACTAATTTTTCAATCATCTAATTTGAAGTGAAATTGGTTTTTATGTTTTTATATGTTGTTATATAATTATAAAGTGTTTCGTAATCTCATTTTTAATCTTGTATATGATTTTTTTTGAATAAAGAATAAATTTAGAATTATATTTCGGGAAAAAAAATATTAGAATATATATGTAGTTTTAAAGATAAATAAAAGCTATTTTAAAGAAAATAAAAGAAAAATTAATAACATAAAAAATTTTTATTTGGAAAAAAAAAAGAAAAGAATAAAAGACTAATGGCCAAGTTGGTAATACAGATTGATATGCTGAGGTGACACTTAAATAGAATTCTATATTTATACAGAATTTTTTAATCTCTATATACTAGTAAAAGCTTTCTTTTTTATAATTAATCCAAGGGTAAACTACCATACAGATATTAAAAATTCTATATTAATGCAGAAACTGTTTTTACCACTAGATTTAAGTAGTTAAATAGTATAAACCATTAGATTGAAAATAGCTCTAATAACTTATTAGCTATTATCAAAAATAGAATTTTATTATTAAATATGAATGTTACTATTTAATTGTGTAAATAAAAAATTACTCTTTTCAAAACAATTATAAAAAATAAAAATTTTAAAGATAAAATAATTATCTAATTCACCAAATTTTATTTACCCAAAATAAATTTTTAAAATTTTAATAAATAATTATAAATTTTTATTTATGTTATTGTTAAAACATTTATCATGTATTTATACATTTGAAATTATA